TCTTGGTGGCATGTAAAGATGCGAGTAGTATTCCCTCAAATGGATTTGGACGATGCATTATAAGGATTTGACAAGATACCCACAACTTATACTCCAGAGGAGAAACAATGGAGTGATCGAAATTGGAGTAATTATGTATGACGAAGAATCTTACTAGCAAATTGTGTCTGAAGCAATGTTTATGTTCTCATCATATGACAGAAGATACATCCTTTAAAGGATTACCTAACTGCTTTTAAGGAATCACCGCTGATTTGGAAATCTTGAAAGTTAAATATGATGAATAAGATTTGAGATTCATTTTATTATATTCATTGTTCGCTTCATATATGTTTTTTAGAGACACCATTTTATAAAGTTGTAATATTCTCACTATCAAAGAAGTTTATGATGCTCTATTTATTTAAAGAAGAAGATGAAGCATCTTGTAGTATTTGAGGGTCATGGAGATCATGCAAGGGAAAAGTCAAAATCTAATTTTAAATTTTGTAATTATTGTAAGAAAAATGGGCACTTGATAAACGATAGTTATAAGTTGTAGAAAAAATCAAAATTGACTGCAAATCAACAATAAATTTTTTTTAGGGAAAACAAGTATTGCAGAAAATTCTAATAGTGATGGAGAACTTTTACTTATGTCTGACTACAACTCCAAATCCAATGAGATTTAGATTCTTGATAGAACTTGCATTTTTCATATGTCTCCTAATCGGGATTTGTTTTCAACATGTGGTATTGGCGGGGTCACAATACTTGATGTTTGATGGGATGGTTAGAATACTTGATGCAGTGAGATATATTCCAAATATGAAGAGAAATCTAATCTTCTTAAGTACTCTTAATTCAAAAGGGTACTGTATATTACTGAAAGTGAAGTCCTGAAAGTTAGTAAATGTGTCTGTATTTTGTTAAAGGGACATAGAAAACCTCATGATATATCTTGTAGTGTTATGCAGAATTTTTGAGCAATATACTGTTGGAGTCTAATTTGGGGTCTTCCTTAAAGAATTCATCTCAATTGAATTTAGAAGTTATAGGTAAATCAGCTTTGACACAATCATCGGCATTGTCATTGTATTCACTTGCTAGTAACAGACCCATTTTGGCCATAAGATTCCACGTAGGTACAATTCTACTGATTTAGTTGATGTTTTAAATGCGGTTAAATATGTTGATTCTAGCCAAGATCCTTCTTTTGATACATTCAATTATGACTTTGTTAAATGGCTTGTTTCAACCTTGTATGGTGGTCATTCGATCACATTTGCCCCTATTTGGGATAGCAGAGGTAGAGAATATTTCTAGTATGAAATTTTTTATTAAGAAGTTCGTTTATTTTTTTCATTGAAGAATTCAAGGAATATTTCGGCCCAGGAAGATTTTGGCCCGACTTGGGGTGTCGAGGCACCACCTGGTCTGTTTTCGTCCTATGAGATTTTTTTTCCTCTACTCCGTTTTTTACATTTTACTTCAACTTCAACTACAACACTACTAATATGGTTTGAATGTTTCCTATTTGTTCTCTACATATAATTGACTCTTCATTATAATTTAGTAGAAGTTAGATATATTTTAAACACAAATTTTTGTATTATTTCTTTATATTATAATAAAATTTCTATTCTCTACAAATTATTTTAGTTCTTGTGTTCTTGTGATCGATTATTTCATATTGTGTCATATTTTCTTTTCTCGTCTATTATTACAACAAATTAGTATTAGAGCAATTCGATATATTCTTCGTCGTTTATAACACAAAGGTCCCAAATGTACGGTCCCAAAACAGTAAAGAGAACATGGCCTTAATTTTTTATTAGATCATTTTAATCTTAGGCTTAACTTTAAAATAGCATTTTTACACAATTATTTACATATGTTGGCCCACATGGTAAATTAAATAATTTCCCAACATTATATTCTTGTGCGTACTTGAGCTGACAACAATGTCTTATATTTCTTCCACTATACTATGAACCCGTTTCAAGTTGCAATTGGGTTTGTCAATGATTGTCATTTTGTCTCGGTAAATATATTTTAAATGAATAATTTTTTTTTTAACTATTTGATATTTTTACTTTTATTTTTTCATGTAATTATGTGTGCAGGTGAGATAGCATGCTAGCGGACCAATGTCACATATTACTTGTAATTTGTATAAGTACTATCATTCATATGTAGAGTGTTTGAATTTGAGTATGACTCAAATTCTATGTTGAAAATAATTGAAAGTTCTAAGCAAATTGCACATTAAGAAGGATTCTATTTCCTATGCTATAGTGGAATCATATTCAAATTTATTTGGCGAATTTTAGTTGAAATTCTACTTGAAAGCCTAATTAGGAGTTGAAATTTGTATTGGACTTGAAGAGAATATTGGGATGAAGAAAATTAAAATTTTAAAGTAAAGGACCTGAGAGTGGGCGCCGCGGCGCTTTGAAGATTTTAGCCCGGCACTGCAGCTGCCAAGTCCAGGGCGCTGGCACCATGCCAACGTCGAGATGCCACCTAATCCATTTTCACCCTGCGTGATTTTTCCTAATTTACTCCGTTTATTACATTTTACTTCAACTTCAACTTCAACTCTACTATTATGTTTGAACATCTCCTATTTGTTCTCTATAGACTCTTCATTATAATTAAGTAGAAATGAGAAACATTGTAAACATAGATATTTGTATTTTTCTTCATATTATAATAAAATCTCAATTCTCTGCAAATTATTTGTTCTCTATATATAATTGACTCTTCATTATAATTTAGTAGAAGTTAGAAATATTTTAAACACAAATTTTTGTATTCTTTTTTTATATTATAATAAAATCTCTATTCTCTACAACTTATTTTAGTTCTTGTGTTCTTGTGATCGATTACTTCATATTGTGTCATTTTTCTTTTCTCGTCTATTATTATAACAAATTAGTATTAGAGCAATTCGATATATTCTTCGTTGTTTATAACACAAAGGTCCCAAATGGAAGAAGATGTAGCCATCTGACAGACAATTGACTTGAATAAACCATAAATAGTTGGATGTACATCAACATTCAAATGTTTTATATTACTAGTTATGAAAGCTATAGAACAATGATTTATCTTAAATCTTTTTTTTTTTTTTTTAGTTAGGACATGGTAAAAACACTGATTTTTTTTTATAAATAATTTATTTTTGCTTAAACTGTGTGGATATATTGTGTTTAAAATGAATGAATGTAATAAAAAGTAATGTCGGAAAGTAATGGAGATGAATATAGTATTTTTTAAAAAATTTAAAATTATAATAGTGATAAATTTAGAATGTGATATATATATAGCCGCTTTCATCGTAAGTATAGCTTTTGAAAATTCTCCCTAAATTTTTAACCAACCAATCTATCGATCTGCCAAATGATTTGTCAGTTGAACCATGTCATTGGTGATTTCCATTGTCCAAGTGGTGTACCATAGCTTTTCCTATCACTACAAAATTGAAACACATTGTATGCATTATGCTAATTTCATAACACTAATTCACGATTAATAACTAATTCGTAGTATGAAGGACATTTTATTGAANATTAATAACTAATTTGTAGTATGAAGGACATTTTATTGAAATACATGTTAAAAAATTCACCGATAATATGAACAATATATATGGCCTGCCGGAAGAAACACGAGAAAGAAGTACACGTGATTTCATGTACGAAATCAATTTGATGCCGCCTATTTAACAACACTAGCCTTTTATCTAGATGTTTCTCCTGCAAAGCGGCGGGATTTATTTCACGATAGGCTTACGTCCACCATCATACTAAACTGAAATTTTTCCCTGAGTAGACCTACATGCACTTTTGTGCTAAGCTATTATCTATCGTCATACAAACCAATACCCTCTTGCTAAGTTGGAATCAATAATTATATATGAAATACTTTTAGTGTAACAAATCAATACACCGTCGCCTATTCGGGACCACAACTTTTTATCTAAATGTCTTTCCAGCAAAGCGTAAATTTATCATTGGACAAGCTTTTGTCCACCACCATGTTAAGTTGGAATTTGTCATCGAACAGACGTACATGTACTCTTATGCTAAGTCATTATTTTTTGTCATAAAAACCAATACCCTTTTGTTAGGTCGGAAGCTATAATTAGACAGATTTGTAGGCACTAGACGACACGAATCTCTATTTTCGCTTAGATTCTTTATATGACATATTTTTAAGGTACTAAATCAATACAACGCCGCCTATTCAAAACCATCGCATTTTATCCAAATGTCTCCTACAAAAGCGGAAATTCGTCCCCAGGTAACTTTATGAGAAATCTTGAATATCCTCAAATAAACCTACAACTGCTCTTGTGCAAAGTCACAATCTATCACCTTACAAACCAATGTCTCTTGTTAAACTAAACTCTATAATAGAACATGCTAGAAACATAAAAAGACAACTCTTTTATTGCACTTAGATGCTATACATCAAATTATAAATTTTTGAAGTAGACGAATTCATTGCCATTTGTAAACTTACATGGGAGCCAAATTCAATTTAAAAATTACCCCATTTAAATTCGAAGACAAGTTTTTCTTTTTCCATTTTTTTTCGTAAATTAGCAACATTCTTGCTATTCAAACTCAGCTCGAATTCGACTATTTCAAAACAAAGTGACAATCAATCGTCAAGTAAACATATAATTCTTCTGTTGTTGCTATGTCGCCGAAATCTTATCCCAATTTTAGCTGTACGTCGTCAAAAATCTCTTTTTTTGGCTCCGCCGTATGCCACCACCACCGCACCGCCACCAGTGGACGCGTAATCACGCCTTTGTCCACATGCCTCGTCCATAATCAAACAAATTCCACCGAGTCCTCATTCACTGCATTTCTCTACAAGTATACAAAAAAAAAAACCCGAATTCTGTGAATCTGTATCGAATTCTATATATTTGCCGATTTGTTATGATGACATAGGGTTCGGGAGTGCAGTTTCTTCTCTGTCTGAGTTTGGGAAATTGAATTGAGATGAATAATTTGCAGCTGGAGATGGCACCACTGGGTGCGTGGACTCCTAGGGGTTCTGATCCTCTGCTTAAGGTGAATGCAAGATCATCTGGGAGCTCTAGGCGTGAGATAAAGAATGAACCTGATGTTGAAACTGGTTCCTTGCCTTGTTGCAGAATTTGCTTTGAGTGCGACGGTGGTATAGATTATGTTTTTTCTATTGTTTTATTTTTTAGGTTTCTAGCAAGATTTTATGAAGTTTCGGTCTTGGAGAGTTTTTAACTCACAAACATCTTCTTTTAAATTTTATGTTTTCTTTCTGTATCAACGGTGTAATTGTGTTCTTAAGGGTCTGGATGCATTATTTTGATTACTAGCATGCTTAGTTCACTACGAATCAGTGAAGTTTTATTTATATGTCAAGATTCTAGAAGAGACGTGTGTAAAATTTGAATTTCAAGGTTACTAAATGTTGTGCGGCATGAAAACAAACACATAATCTTTCTGAGTTACTCAATTTTTAGTTATATACTATTTCAAAAGTGCATTTGATGAGCATACCCCTAGTTTGATATTTGATAACTTGATTGGTGATTGGCGATATAATTTCCTGTGTGCATTTGATTTCCTTCTATTAGTGTATCATATTCTCCTTTTGGTGCTTCTTGTGGTGTCTTGAGGATTTATTTTTAAATGTTTTAAGAATTTTGACTTCAAACCTATGGTCTTGGTACTCTTATCTGAGCTGGCTTAGTTTTCCACTTCTTCATAGATGATGAATTGATATCTCCATGCAAGTGCAAGGGCACTCAGCAGTTTGTGCATCGCTCTTGCCTTGATCACTGGCGGTCTGTTAAGGTGGAATTATCTCTTTCCTGTTTCATATATATCATTTAATTAGTTCACATTTGATAATTTCCGGCCTACATTGCATCATAATATAGGAGGGATTTTCCTTTTCACATTGCACTACGTGCAAAGCTCAATTTCATCTACGAGTGGCAGATTTGGAGGACAACTCATGGCGCATTTTAAAGTTCAGACTTTTTGTGGCTCGGGATATCTTCCTTGTATTTGTGGCTGTACAAACTGTAAGATCAGTATACTGATTCTCATCTTAGAAAATATTTATGACAGGATGATATTGGACTGAATTGACCTTGTTGGTATATCCATTATCCATTTTTCTGTTTCTTCTTTTGGCTGAACATGCTATGGGGAGTTCAAATTTCAATGCTGTAGAATGCACTTTTGTAGTATTTCAATGATTCTAATGCTTCTGATACTTGTGAGGGAGTTAAAATGTTGGTGGGTCCATTGATTTATGATGGTTAGTTTGTATCTTAGTTAGATGACCCTGTTTGGAATGACACACAGAGGGTGCTTATTTAAATTCTCACTTAATGCCAAGAGAGGACATTATGCACATTTTTGCTTCCGATTAGTTGTACAAATGCCACGCCGTCAAGCTTCCAAACATCACATTTAAAGGCAAAGACTTGTGCCTTGTAATTAGATGACCTTTTACCATTTATTCACTAGCTTGCTTTTATGGTGGTTCGCTATGACCATAGTATCAGTCTAGTGATTGGTGGATCTCCTTGACATTGACGAATGTGGAAACTTCTTTAGCATGACATCTATGAACAACATATTCCAAATACTATTTTACCTTCAAACATGTTGAGTACTAGTTGTGACAACATTGTCCAAGCTCTTTCGAAATAAAAATTTAAAATTCAAGATGCTCAAACCTAAGATCAACTTATATTTGTTCATGCCTCTCAAAATGTGCGGCTAATTCAATGTTTAATAAGGCTCAATGGATTTCCAATTTCTTTTACGTTTGTGAGGCAATGCCCGGGGCTTAATCTTCAAGAAAAAACAATGATATAATTTAAATAAACATTAAAATAAAAATAATGCTTATAACAAACTTTAAATTATCTAGAAAACTCATAATAAAATAATTTCATATAAGTAAAGTCTAATATGCTGAATAACATGACATATATCAATAAATAGCAAATATTAAGTTCTTAAGTTAGTAATCATATAACAACATTGTAATTTACTACTAGAAATAGAAACAATATTGAAGTATCCCATAACAATACTACTAATAGGAAGTCTTGAAGAGAATCATTAATGCATTTAATTTCTAGTCATCCTTCTCGTCACTACCAGTTTCTCTTCATTCTTTGTCATCATTCTTCCCATGCAATGGTGCCTTTGCCTTCCCATCCCCTTTCATGTAATGATAAGAGACAAAACAAAAGAATTGTAACAGAAGGAAAAACAAATGAATGCGAACATGAACTGCCTCAAAGTGTAGGTGATGACGAACAATATTGAACAAAGAACAAGATTGAGAAAGAAAGAGGAAGAGAGAGGGGAGAGGAGAAGAAGAGAGAGAAGTATAATTTATGAGGAGAATATCAAGTGCATTTCATATCAAACTTGTCTGTATTATAATACATATACTCCCTTTATATAGTATTTCAAAGAACCTATTCTAAGTAGGGAATATATAATAAAATACTAGAGAATCTAACAGAATACTAGAGAATTCATCAAATTTAGGTAAGAAACAACTGCTAAAATACTAGAGAATCTATTAAAATATTAGAGAATCTAAAATTCCAATTACGTATTTAATTTGAAAATTCTTCTATATAATATATTTTCTAGGATCCCCATAAATATATCTTCTAGATTCCCACCAGATAGGATATAACTTTTTGGCCAATGAGGGCGATCTTTTTTCTTGATCAAATAACAATATCGACCATAGGACGACAACTAAATCAGCAAATCATTCTCAAGAATATGATCCTTTTAGCCAAGTAGCGAAAGACAACTCCAAAAAGCAACATGTGCAGCTCATCGACAAAAATTACCATTGAGAAGCAAGATGTACTAGTATGGTAGATTGACATGCAAAAATAAATAAGTGCAACATTAGTGGCTTAAATATGCCCCGACAAGAAAACAATTCTACTATATTAAAAATAAAACCTTCATTTAAGTGTGATGGTTAGTCAAATAGATTATTTTTAATTGAGTGATCTAAAAACTTTCCTTAAATATTTCAAAAACCATGCCAAAGAAATATGTAACAAGGCATAAAAATCAACGTTAAAATTTTGTATGTTATCTTAGCATGAAAATTAGGAAAATGAGCAATGGTTGTCGGAGCTAAAATAATATGACGGTGATTAGTAGGCAACAATCGAATATCTATAGGAAAAGTATGCAAGTGAATAGTTGCCTTAAACAAAAACGTGGCAACTTGGGGAGTATCAATCAATTTTGGTAAAACCATAACAAACCTAATGTTAATATCACACACACGAGTATACGATAACAATTTCGACATGGAGTCGAGAACATGTTGTTTGTTGGGCTTAGATGGTAATGCCATATATAATTACCACTAAATTCATAAGAGGAGCACGATGCACTAGTATGGTAGACTGACTGGCAAAAATAAATGATTGCAATATCAATGGCTCGAATGTGCCCCTGACCAGAAAACAATTCTATTATTCTAAAAACAAAACCTTTACTTAAGTGTGATGGTCAGTCAAATAGATTATTTTCAAGTGAGTGATCCAGAAGAATTTCTTTAAATATTTTGAAAATTGTGTCAAAGAACCATGCAACAAGGCTTAAAAATCATTATTAAAATTCTGTATTTTATCTAAGCATGAAAATGAGCAAGTGTTGGAGCTAAAATATTATGACGTTACTTAGTAGGCAACAATCAAATATCGATAGAAAAAGTATGCAAGTGAACAATTGCCTTAGACAAAAACATGGCAACCTGGGGAGCATCAATCAATTTAGGTAAAACCATAACAAAGCCAATGTTAAGGTCACGCAAAAGAGTAGATAATAACAATTTCGACATGAGGTCAAGAACGTGTGGTTTGTTTGGCTTAGACTGTAACGCCATATGTAATTCCTCGTTCTCGCATCAAAATATTTAATAGGCTTAACAGTAAAAATCTTATTTTCTTCCTGATGAGGACAAATTAAACCAGACTAAGCTAGTGACTATTGAAATTGGGGTTTATGCCTAGCATATAGCATGTTTGGTGAAGATGGAAAAATATGTTCCATAGATTGACATGTCGTAAGCTTCGGAAAATGATTAGGGTCGGTAATATCGTCACACATGATTTTAGGATTCAAATAATTGAGAAACGTAGACGCCGTGATATCGAGAGCTTCATAAATATCATAACGGTGCAATAGCTCTTCGAAGTGGTCTAGATATTTGCTAACAATGGATGTACCTTGCCACAGTGTAAAAAGAATTGATCTAGAAACTTAGTTCGATAATACAACGACGTACTTATTACTAATATTCATTTTATGATTCTCATCCCACAAAGTGACATGACTTTATCCTAAACGATTAATACTACGCAAAAATGACTTCCCGTACCACCTAGCATATCCATCAAGTGACATAAGCATGACAAATACGACAAGGAGTCACACATTTTGTGAATGTCAAAAACCTTTTCAAGAATGTCGAGCTAATCAAGAACTGACTAGGGACCAACAAGACCATCAAAGTCCTAAGGTTGTAATTTAACTTGCTAGAAGGATAAGAAAGGAAAAGGGGAGGCACACTATCTTGTTAAGGACCTAGGGACTTTGTGTAGCTATAAGAGTTGGTATATGAATTGTACATAATGTTGAGTGGAGTTCTGAAACAAAGTAACTTATTTGAAATAATTAAAAATTATCACTTAGCGCACGCAGGAAAAAAACTCTAAAATCCGATCAAATGAACAATTTGATTGACTTTATTTTATTTTATTTTTTAAGATCAAAATGATTAGCCAAACGCTTGAACAAAAGTAAAGTTGTCAAGATAGCAAAAAGTATACCTGAGGAGCTGATATAGAGCTAACAGTAGGCAAAATCATTGTTCAAGCATTCAGTGTTCCATGCGAGACCTCAATCGAACTGCACTAGTGTGGCTCCTGGATCGGAATTGAGTAACAACAATTAAATTCATGCCATCAGTTTTTCTTTTGAATTTTTTTATATTATTTTTCTTTATCTTCTTTTTTCCACTAAGAGCAACAATGAAAAAACTAATCTAATTCAAAATTTTGTTTAACTAGTGAACAACTCCAATGAAAGCAAAGGAAAAGAGAAAAAAATTGGATGAACAAAACTGATGAACAATTTTGTTTTTTGGGAGGTAGTTGCAGGTGGAGGGCTGTTTGTGTAAGTGTATATGGTGGCACTGGTGTTTGATGGATATGAGGTTGTTTGGGTGTGATTTTTTTATAGGTTTGACAAGCACTAATTTTTTTTTTATAAACATGAACACCAATCAAAACTTCGCGAATTTGTTTGGCCAAAGGAATGTGACTTGCTCTTATACCTGAACAACATCGAACAAAGTACAAAATTGAGAAATAAAGAGGAAGAGAGGGGAGAGAGAACAATAGGGGGGAGAATATCAAGTTTATTTTATATTAAAGTTGTCTATATTACAATACATAAGCTTATTTTATATAAGATTTCAAAGAACCTATTTTAAGTAGGAAACATCTAATAAAATCGTAGATAATCTAACAAAATACTAGAAAATTCATCAAATTTAGGTAGGAAATAATTATTAAAAATAATAGAGAATCTAACAAAATATTAGAGAATATATTAAAATATTATAGAATTTAAAACCCTAATTACGTATAAAATTTGAAAAGTCTTTCATATAATATATCTTCTAGGATCTCCACCAATATGCTAAGACAAATGGCATTCTATGTGTAAGCTTCGAGGTGTTTAATGAAATCCTCACTTTGAGGTGTGCTTTAATACGCACGCATTAGAGTTTAGACAACTTTTTGAAAAAAAGGATTTTATCGTCTTTGGAGTTAAGTCATAGAGATCGAACAAGCTTCTACATAAATGACCCCGGTTGCAATTTTTAGGAACACGAAATGAAATAAGTGCAAGTATATCCTTTGACCAACTTTAGCATATATGGACTTTTTCATCTACGCATATATACCATCTATGATGTATGGAATCTCCTACTTAGGCTGCGTATCCATGTTCAACACGTATCATGTTGTATCGGGTACCGACACTCTCGGATAGTTCATGACATGGATGTGACATGCCTCATATTGCATCCTTTTTTTTTATTATATTTATTAAATTTCTAATGCTTGAGAGATACTTTAGGTACATTCATCGGCTCAGTATTCGACATGGTATGTATTGTGTCATATATTAAAAAGTATAAATATAAAAATATATTGCTTGTTTGGATAAAAGTATAAGTTGTTGAAATTATAGTGTGATAGAAATGAGTGATGCATAATTGAGTAGTATGTGCGAGTCCTACCAAATTGTGTGGTTTAATTCGAACTTTGACTCTAACTTTAAATTTATAATGAAATATAAATTCAAAATTTTAAAGAATTTAATTGATGGTTCCTATCTTACTTTCTAGAAAAATCACGTATTCTTGTGTTCGTATCGTGTTTGTATCCATGTTCGCAACTTAGTATGCCATCATGAGTCAACAATCTTTCCTATCCACTTTCACCTTTTTTGTTCATGAGGATTAAAAAGAGATGCATATAATGGATATAAAACAATGAAGATTGTAAAATTTTTCTCACGTGATTTTGACCTTTTGACCTTAATATTTTATTAATTAAGGTTACCTATTTTCTTTTATCAATACTTACAAATAGGGCTTGTCGTGTTCTCTCTGTGTCATCAATATGTCTTTCATGTGTTAGTAACTAAAAACAATAAAGAATATAAGACACAGGACATGGCACGTCAAACACTTCCCGAAGAATTTTTAGGAAAGCGTCCTTCACGTGTTGGAAATTTAAAAATTTATAAAAATAGGCTTGCCACATAGCTTGTGTGATAACTGACATGTGTCTTACTAAGTGTTAGACCAGTATCAAATCGGTATGTCATAGACACTCCTAGTGTCCGTGCTTCTTAACTTATTGCATAATGATTATCTTACTTGATTTTGGGGAATTAACTGGTGTTGAACATTCCTTTTTCTTTGTCTATCGCGTCCTCTTAATTCATTTATGCTCCAAGCTCTTGTGTTCCTATTATAAAGGAGTTCTCTGATTTAGGACAGATTTTATGAGGTTGAATTTATGGTGGGTTGAAATAATTAGATGCCCATACAGTTAGGGAAAAGGTTGCAATATGTTAATGCTTGGCATTAGAAGTTTCTGTGGGGCGAATCAAGGTTGCTCAATGCTGGTCAGAGGTTGTGAACAATCCGTGAATAGTAGTAATAGGTCCCAAGAGGCTTTTTTGTGGTAGGTTAATGACATTTTTAGTTCTGGCTGATTTGGGTTTGTAAGAGCTGCTTTTTAATGCTGAAACGAGAAAAATAGGTCTCAGTATAGTGCAGAAGGTCTAAAAATTATAGTAAACAAAGATAAGTAGGGGAAGAAGATATGAAAAGAAGGTAATGCAATTTACTGTAGCTGGTCTTTTTAAGTCCACAAAAACACTATCAATCCTACAAATTATCCACTAGAACAAAGAGTATTTAGAGGCTTCAGGGACTTTCCATGTACAATAAGGAATAGTAGCCCAAAGTAGGAAATTATTAACTGTTCTATGATCATTCATAAATTATTTGGGACTCAAATTGAAAATTTATTAACTATTAAAACATAGAAGTATAGGATCTATGATAGCCAAAATATTAAATGCTTGAAAAAACAATTAATAATGATCTCAAGCTAGCCAACTTATTAAAATCATGTAAATTCTATAAATAAGCAAGGAACTTATTACTGGAAAAAAAGATAGGGATCTTGCTACCAACAATCTATTTTAAGCTTCCAAACCGTATCATATTTGTGTCATTCCTCCATGGAACTTGCAGCGTCACTGCCATCACCATAATAGGGAGGAGAATTACGATTTTTCTCAGTTTAACTTGCTCTTTTGAAAACCCTTTCTCTTTAATGTAGGATTTGGACTTTGAATAGCTCTTATATAAAAACTGGAATCGTCTTCTTGCTTAACTTCTCTGATCACCAGTTCCGTCTCCTTTTCCTCAGACTTCTTTGATTAGAAAAGGCTGAGTTTCAATCCAAGATAAATGCTTTCGCATGTTCTTGGTCATTAACACAGTGATGAGATGTTACAAAAACATAGACCTTATAGACTGTCCCCTGATAAATTCTCTGCGTTTAACTGGGGGAAACGGTGAAACACAATTAAATTTACTCATTTGAAACCTTTTTCTCTTCTAATGTAGGATTTGGACTTTGAAGTACTCTTGTATAAAATCCTGCAATTCTCTAATAACTTAGCTTCTTTGATCACTATTTCTTTCTCCTTTTCCTCTGACTTCTTTGATTTAGAAGTCTGAGGTTCCATTCAAGATAAACGCTTGTGCATGTCGTTGGTTGTTAAAACATTGACCAGTTGTTACAAAAATGTGGATCTTACAAACTTTGTCCTCTGATAAACGTGTTGTGTTTCACCGGGGGAATGGAACATGTTCATGTTTATTTGCAGTTGCTGCAGAGTTCTGCTGTAGACTTAACCATGCAGTTACGTATTTCCAGTTTCCTTATCTTTTTGTTTCTTAAGATGATGTAGATTTTGTTGGTAGCAAGGATATGCTGAGTTGTGGGGAAGCAATGTTGTTACCATGGACTGATTTGGATTGAAAGCAATGCTAGACTGAAATACTACCTTCTCATTTCTTGTGGGAGGGGTGGTTTTCCTTTATTTGTTATTAAATATAACTAGTGGTGCGTTTTAGCAGATTGGCTCTGCTAGATATGCAACACAGTTTGACTGTACTGCTTAATCCATGGTTATCCTCTATTTCTATCTTCCATAAATGTATTTCTCTGTGTGTATTCAGATGAATACTCTTATTGAAGAATTTGCTCATCTTGCTATCTCAATTTAATGTAGTGAAAAGATATTAAGGTCTTTTGGAAGTCTGAATTAGCAGTGTAACCATCCTGTGCATTGGAAAACTTCATGATGATTGATCAATGTTAAGAGAGGCTAATTGTCATAGAGGATTAGGTGGTTATGCTGGAACTAATGTTTCAACTGAATAACTGTGTATGCTCTCGAACTTCCTAGGAAATGGAATTGAAAATTTCAGGCCCTGCAAGTTCCCTGGTGTACCAAATGATTCTAGACTTTTTGGGAACTTCTGTAGTGCATTATCTATTCCAAATGTGTTTTTGCTGTTCTATGTGGCAAATGGATATTGATAGGAGCAATTAGGTTTAGGAACTTCCACACTTACAGGTCCTCTTCTGCATGTTCATTACCTCTAACTGCAAAAGAAACAGTTAGATGGGAATATAAATTCATGATCATTATTGCTGCCATTCTTTTCCCAGGTGATTGCTGCAATGGGTGGCTTTATATTCCTCATGGACAAAGAAGGAACTTTGAGGAATTCATTAAATGACAGTTGGGACCACATACTGTCAAAGCGTCCTATTCCATTTTACTATTGCACGGGTAAATCTTTCCATCAATTTACTTTTCCAAGCATGAAAAGAAATGGTGACTCTAGAAAATATGGCAATTTATGGATATTTCAAGTTTGTCGTCACTACTGTAGTATTGACAATCCCATCTTGTTGGTTTATTAAATTTTATATTACTAAAATGACATTTTTCCTTTTTAATTGGTTGTTAGAATTTTTTTTCATATTATCGTGAAGTCCCTCTTTCATCCATGAAGCAGTGCCTCATTGAATTATTTAGATTTACTGATTTCGCAACGTCTGGTTGCTTTATTTTAGATTGGAAATTTTAAAAAAACATGTGCAAAGGATATGTTTCTCCTGGAATTTAAATAAAGAGCCACCCCCACCACCAACACAAACAGAAGAATGTAAAATATCTTTGGCTTCTAAGGTTTAGTGTAGGTAATTTCCGTTTAATCAATGGATTAGCTACTAATGATATTATGGCATTACCATGTTGAAATCAGGAGTCCTTGCTTTCTTGGCGCTGGTTGGGGTTTTCGGGCTCATACTACATTGTGCCCTCAACATCAATGACCAACGGTTTGTTGGCTGTCAGAACTGTGTTTATGGCTGGGGCCTCTTGGATTGTTTTCCTGTATCGGTGGAATCTTGCTTTGTACTGGTTGTCATTTTTGTTGTTGTCTTTGCCATTCTTGGCATTGCCTATGGTTTCCTTGCTACCACCATGGCAATTCAGAGGATCTGGCAGAGACACTACAATATCCTCACTAAGAGAGAACTCACGCAGGTATAATATCTTTACATTATCTTTTCATCAATAATCTTTTCTCGTGAAAACATACCGGGCTGCTGACTGTAACTCGTACTCACATATGTAATTGATAACTTGATTGCGATATGTGACGCAAAATTCTGCACTTGGATTTGAGTTGCCCATGAATGAATATCGGACAGAACTTAAGGAGACATTGCTTACTCTATCAGTTAGTTTCTGAATCCCAATTGCAGTGCGACAGTGGTAAATACTAAGTTCTATGATTTTAACTTGCAGATGAGGATTCTTGTCTCCTTTTTAGCTGGTAAATATGTTATGTTCGAAAAAGTATTTTTAATTGAGTCACATTGAGATCTTGTTTGGCTCAAGATTCTTTCATATTTTTTTAAATGAAAATGCCATGAACACAGCAGCTTAACTACCGAGTTAACCACGTAACTGACCTTATTTTGTCCAATTACACTGTTAAATTTGATCTGACTACATTCATGTGATAATCCTAAGTTTGTCCTAGAAATTAGTTTGTCATGCTGGCTACCTTTGGGTTCCTTCGTATGATTCAACATGTTCTGATTTTGCTCTGCATTGAGGCATGTTTAGGTAAGGTGAATTAGATAGTACTCGACAAATATTAATCAAGACAAAAAGTTACAATTTTGTCAATCATACTTTCCACTACGATATAAATACTGCTTTCCAAACGTGAACTCTTTACTCTTGGGTTATTTAAGGTACTTTCTGAATATTGCAGGAGTATATAGTGGAGGATCTTTGTGGCTATTACTCACCTCCCAAACTGGATCCAGGGCATGAATTCCGTCTGAAAACCCTTAAGCTGCTGTAAAGAATCTGGATTTCATATGAGCCTCGAAAACAGAGATGCCATGAATGATTTAATGTTTTTCTCTGTTATTTACTTTAGCAAAAAAAATCTAAATAATGGCAATTTGTTGCCTTGGGATGGTGTCGTACTGTATAAATTTGTCTGAGAGTCTCTCTTTATTTGATCATTGCGGTTTCTGCTGTATATAGGAATGGTACTAATGGTTCAGAGCATGCTGAGCTTAAAAACTGAAGTTACTTTAAGTAACTTAGCCAAACGTGCTTTTTCCCACCTTTAACGTTACATTTTTTTTTTTTTTTAAATGCTAAAGTACACAGTAAATTGAATTTGTTTCTTTCGAATATCCACCTAATTATAAACTGTTTTAGGACTTCTTTGCAACCATGAAAATTCCTACAAAGGAAAGACAAAAACCACTAGAAAATTGTTGTGGGATAAAATTGTCAAGGACAAAAATCAACAACATTTTAGATTTGAACACTCAAAATACTTTTCAAAAGCCTTTCGTAAGTGGTCGAGACAAGTATACAAAATACACTTATCAACACACGTAACTATAAATCACCATCCCATCTCCCATGACATAGACGTGTTGCACGATCACATTATATTGCGTGTTCTTGTATTGTTTGCTTTATAAAAGCGGGATTGGAGGAAAGATATGAGCAATGCAAGTCTAACGATATTGCTTTATGAAAGTGGGTTTGATTTTTTGCCAAATATTAAACACTCCATTGTCTTCAGCGTAGGAATATCAATTAATTCTTTTTCTTTAGGTCTTTGAATTTCAAGATCCAACAACAAACTCGAGTTAACTAGGACGGATCAATTCTGTAACCAAATGACTTCAAGAATATTAATAAAAAAATAACGAGATTTGTATATTTTGTATCTAAACACAAAGATGAAATAATTATGAGAACCAAATATGCAAAATAAATTCCGTTGTGCAAGCACAAGTAGATACCTTATTAAATTGATGACTGAAGCAGTAGATATCTTTTCCATAATAGATGTGCTTTATGATTGTAAGTGTTTGCTTGAGAGAGATGATTTGAAGTGAAAATTTGAAGAATGTACGGTTAAAATTTATGGAAAAGTTATGGTTTGACATGCAAAATTATTTTATTAAGAAAATATAGCTAAAGTACAACATAACAGTAAGGAGTGAGATATCAGTTGAAAACAATCCAGCTGCTATATGCAAAATCTTCTTGCTAGCACAGCCAGAAAGACCAAAAAGTAAAACAGTATTATTCTGAATGACTTCCAAGTAAAGCATATATGTGAAGAAGCATTCAGGAGCATATGAATGAGACCATGAAGAAGCATTTTAAAAATTCCTAAAGTACTTTCTGTTAGTTTTCTAAAACACTCCAATGTATATTATCGGGTCTAAACACTCTTCTACAAGCAAATATGATATAACTTATTTACAGAAATTACTAGTTGCACACATAGTACATACAGATGACTGGCCCGACAAGCTTGATCTCACATTCATACGATAAAATTTCTCGACAGACAGAGAGTACTCTTGAACAGGTTATTTCTGGACAAAACAATAGAACTGCCAACGGAGTGGCTTAATCAGAAGAAGTCTAGCAGAAATTCTACATTATCCATTTGCGTGTAGACATCCATACCAGCTTCCCTCAAACTTTTACATGCTTGTCGGATCCCTGCAATAGTTACCTGAGTTTTATTTGAAAAACTCTATTATACCAGATTGAATGAAGGGTCATGTGAAAGAGATCATATTTGGCAGGATTGGCATGCCAGAGAAAATGTTGCTGAACTTTCTTCACACCAAGTTGCATTTTGATATATTTCTCTTCTGGTATAGACATAAGAATGTTTTTCAAATTTGGGATGTCTTTCTCTGCTATGATTACTGAGAATGCGTCCCAGTTCAACACCTCAAAAAAAGGCGGGACGAAATTATCAGATATAATAACTGGTACACACTCATAAAAAATGGCTTCAACTACCCTCGGACTGTTCACCTCGTATCCCTTTGGGCAAATACAGTACTTGCTGCTTTTCATATGCTGGATGTAATTCATTTTGCTCGCTACTCCTGGAGGCATTGGGCCAAAGATTTTCATATCAGGGTCCTTATCCTTCCAATAATAGAGCAAGATTGGACGTAAATATCCATGCATATTTCCAGCATAGAAGGCAAGAATGTGTCTCTGTGATGATGACTTTCCTCCAATATCTCTAAGAGGATTTCGGGCAGACCGGACATATGTTTCTGGAAGGGATATATCCCTTCCTATTTTGAATCCCATGGTTATATCTGCATTGCAGAGGGCTTTAATGCAATGTTCCATGTGGTGCCTTGTTTCATATGGAGCCTACACAAATACACTTGTGTTAGGACACTACAGATAAATCCATAATTCATTTTGTAACGAAAACAAGGTAGCATACAAACGGGTGAGGAGGCCGTAGTCCTCTGACCAACATATGCCACAATAGAAGACGCATACAAATCAAAATAGTAGTTGAAGGCTGAAATAATCAGGATCTTACTGAATTTCTTTATTGTTATCAGTTATCACACAAATAGTCCATAAAGTTTTAAAAAAACTCCAGACACCGAATTTAAATATTTTACAACAATATTTCCTTCATTTTTTCCACAAATATGGTCCATTATAAATTTTGTCCATTCACATACTAGATGTGAAAATGCACCCATTGTGACAAACCCAAAACAGTAAAGACCAATGCGTTCAACTTGGAATTGAAGGTACTAAAGCGGGACTTGTTTGGGAAACCTGAGTGTGTGTGCGTGCGTGTGTGTGTGTGTGAGAGAGAGAGAGAGAGAGAGAGAGCATTACCCAATCATGGCAGGCAACAAGAAAATGATCTGCCCCACCAGTTCTATTCCAGAATCGGTACTTTGCTGCAATCTTTTCTGAATAATTTTTCAAGTACTGACGTAGGTTTGTCCGATTGTGGGAATTACGTACATATAGAGTGTATTCTAGCATCCGTGAACTAAATGGCATATAAAAGAGATGAGCCTTTCTTGGATCTTTCACAACAAAATGCTTATTTCCCTCCATCAGTTTCATGAACCATCCTTCAGATGCATATAATCCTTTGAGGATTGGTTGATGAAAGATGGGTTTTTCACCCTCTTTGTAGACATATATTTTGAGTAGGCGCTCCATAAGTTCATAGCTCCTAATAATGCAACAAAGCACAATTAAGGAAACGCAATTAGCAAAGAGAAAAATGGATAAGCCCTTGTTTGGCCCCCATTAAATTATATTACATTACATTACATTAAATTTTTCTCTCTTCATTTCAACCACACATTCATCAAATAAAATAATATTACACACAAATCAAAAAAATTTAAACCACACATTCTCCCATCAATCACTATTCTAAAAATTTTCAACCCCCAAAAATGCAAAATAATGGGGGCAAAACAGGGGCTAAATATGTTCAGTAGTATTTTAGTTTCTGCAAATTATCACGTTACTCAACACTGTTCTTTAAGCTGAGAACAAAGCATATTTATCGCCACAAAACTAAGTCACTATGAATGCAATCGTTATGATCTATTAGGGGTGGATCCAATATTTTTCTTTGTTTTGGACAGAAGATAAGCTATTTTCCAAATTTTAAAACTTCAATCCGTGTCTTTCTGTTGGGGCGTCTATAAATTATTTGAGAATTATTTCATTTTCCTAGATTCTATAGTATTAGTTTTGAGGACTAGGCTAGTTTATATTATTCTCTGTTTTAAAATCTGTTTGTGCATGACAGAAGGTGCCTTGCTCATGGACTGAAAATAACATACTATTGTAAATGCAAAGCATGTTCAAAAAATTAGAAAGAAGACTTCTGACAGATAATATTATCTTGCTGCATTAATTTCCTTTCCAGTGTAAATTTTTTGGATTATTCTTCAACGTGGCCCTGTTCATGTAGTAGGGCTCAAATTTTTTAGTGAGATACGATTCAGACACAGCTTAGGCAAACAGCATAAAACCAAGATATCCAAAATCAGAAAACATGGATTCTGAAATTGAACTATTATTCACTCTTTAAATTGAGTTTGGTTAACCTTTTGAACATGGATACATTTCGAAAGACAGGAGCATAAAGATCTCGACCATTCTTCAAAACGGGTGCATTCTCAATCTGTAACTTTGCACGGAGAATTTCCTGGTCACGTTCAGAAGACCACCTAGGTCTCTGCAATCCAATTGTAAAAAGTCACATTTTCCACACATGAAAGCAAAACATATGGATATCTTTATATCAAGAATAACATACCATTGCACGTGAACGTGCTCGATGCCGAACTAATAGACGTTGCATCTCATCTATCAGCATTACTGTTTTTGGTGGCATCTCACACCTCATCTTCTTCTTAACAGGCTTACTCTCAAGTAAAGATCCATTATTGAGGACAGAAAAATTATTTTGCAGCCTCGAATTATCCTCGCCATCAGATAATTTTTTTGTTTTAGAAGATACAGTAGGGGAAAAATCAGTAGATATTCTTGCTCGAGATCCCGAGTTCGTCTCAACAACAGATTCAATCAACAAATCCACAGCTGGTGAAACAAGCAAAGGTGACGAAGTAGGAGTACCAACTGTGCTAATTTCATCCCGCGTGGTCCTTGTATTGGCGTTTGAAAAAATGGTTGACATATTTTCCTTAGAACCATGTTCTTGCGTTTCATCATGTCGAATCTTGAACCCCTCCTCCATATCTGGATTTACTTGAAATGGATTATCATTATCTAATGTTTCATCCTCAACAAAATCAAAATCAAAATCATTATCCATGGCCTCACTATCTGAGGCAATATTAATCCTTCTTTCATCATCTTTTACCATTGATCCTCCATTATCCACTGCATCTGCAGCAGAGTGGTAACTCTTTGCATATTTCACTCCACCTACTAATAGAGATGCATTATTCGAATTCAAGATACCAATGTTGTGAGGATTTTCGGGCATCAGAGTCTTGAAAGAAGATTGATTGGATGACTTGCTGGCCTTCTCCCCACTAGGCAATAGCGACATAAGGGCATTGTCATAAGGAAGCATCAAAGACTGGCAGAATAAATGGGTTAAAGCCACCAAACCCACCAAGAACATCCATTTCCTTTTCTCAATTTGAAGCAGCGTTTGAATTTTGATCGAATTATCCATGGCAAAAACGAAATCCCAATTTACTGACTCATGGGTAAATTAAATGACCAAGCGCCAATCACACATCTACATTGAATTATAGCCCAAAGGATCAAAAGTCAGAGACAAAATTTGAAAATAAATATCCTCAATTGGTAAATTCAGATGTCATATTTACTTAAGTCCATTGCAATTACAAGTAATAAGGGTTTCAACTTTGATATCAGGACTCAAAGCATGAATCACCTCTACTCAGCTCGCAGTACCCCCCCAACCCAACTCCAACAGAAAACAAAACAAAACAAATGATAAATATTACTCCAAAAGTTGCAAGTAAAGCAATTTTTTTCAGCAAAACTCACAAGCCCTCAACTGAAATGCAAAAATCATACTCACTTGAAGATTATCATCAAACCCACAGATAAGACTGTAGCAAAATGTCGGCGGTGAAAAGCTTTTAGCTCGAGATCAGCTACTAGAGCACTTCACAGAATTACCCAATAAGCATAGATTATCATCAAGAGAAAGTTTTGAATTTGATATTCTCGAACCAATAAATGCTTATACAAAAATCAATAATTTATTATGGAATCACTGTCTTTGTCCTAGCTACAACGCACGACTTATGTAATTATTGAATGATCTTTACATGTACTTACAAAATAATACAATAATTTTTTAATACTCTTGTAAATTCATGATTTAAAAATATCTCTTTATTTGAAATTCTATAAAGAGTTATTAAAGAGGTTGCAGTATTAATAATAAAATGATGAAACTTGTAGGTTGAATAAAAAGAGAATTTAAAAGATCTTTCGTTGTACGATCGTGTGTTTCGATATCTCCTTTAACTTCAATATTATGCCCCTATTCGGTAAAAAATAAAATTTAGATTTTAATTTAAATCAAAGTCAACAATTAATTTTAACTACATATTTTATGGGATTTTTCTAAATACACATTTCATTAACTTTTATCAAAATCTACTAAAAAATTAATTTTAATCACCACCAAATAGGGGCATATTTCTTCGTTAACATCGAAATTCGTAGTCTTGGTTCGACTTCTTTTTCCTTTTTACTCTGTTTTCTTTCATATTTTCTCAATAATTTAACAAATTATTTATTAGTACTTTCTTGGATAGATTATCATGCGTTTTAGTGAAGTGGATAAATTTAGGAAACGAGAAGTTGAATCCTAACTTAGAATATTGGAGAAATAATTTTGTATCTAAATGTTCTAAGTAGAATTAAGACTAACTAGAATCTCTAGTTAAGTAAAAGGATACAAAGAATGACTAGGAATCTAGGGTTTAGTTATTTACTATGAATACCGGAAGAAAATGTGATATTAGAGTGTGTTCGAGACACATTCTTTTGAAAGAATGTATTATTGAATAGTAAATTAATGGAGAATTTGTGGTTAAAAATGAAGGAGAATTTATTGATGTGATGGAAAATATTATTTTATTGAAAAATGTGTGGTTGAAAATGAGTAGAAGAATGAGAATGAAAAAAATAATGTGTACCAAACATGGTCTAAATGAAAAAATAGTACAAAAAATGAAAAAAATATCTGTAAATTAATGGAGAATTTGTGGTTAAAAATGAAGGAGAATTTATTGATGTGATGGAAAATATTGTTTTATTGAAGAATGTGTGGTTGAAAATGAGTAGAAGAATGAGAATGAAAAAAATAATGTGTACCAATAAGTTAGAAGAAATAGAGAAGTGTTATATATGTTTCACATGATAAAAAGGATAATTGTACAAAAAGTTGGGTCATTATAGAACGTAATATTAGAAGCTGAAGATGGCAAAATGAAGATGTTAAAATGAGTATTTGATTAAGAATGGATAAGATTTAAAATAAAAAATAAAAAAAATTAAAGAAATAAAACTATGAGAACATTTTACATAGATTGAAAGCTCTTTCTGCAAGAGCGATACAAGATTAACATTACACGTTGTGGTTGCGAATGATTAGAAAAAAAGTAAAAAAAAAAAAAAAAAGAATCAATTCTAAATTTATTTTAAAAAAATTAATTTGCTGTTTATAATGAGTGGTGGTGTACAAAAGTGAAGACTTCTTTTTATTAACTCAATATAGTATATACCATAAGAATTATGTTAAGTGTATATTTCATGGATTATATCTTGTTTTATATTGTGTGGGAGTTCAAAAAGTGTTGGATGCGAAAGTGTATTTTTTTGAACTGTCCAATCATGTGTCGTCAAGTGACATAGCATAAAAATTGATGTAAAAAAAAAATGTACATGTAACATAATTGATATCATTATTGGTTCGAAAAGAAAACGAACACTATCAATGTTATAAATGCACTTATATACCTGGAATTGGAAAGAGTTTTATCATAAATGCATATTGTCATCTTAGATTTAAATCTCGACTATGCAATAAATAAGATTTAAATAATGTTATCTAGGAGTAGTGGTGTTACTACCATCTTACATGACATTAAACAATAAACTCAATTAAATATAAGGAATAGATAAATCATTTAATTAAACATATAATTCAGCCCATGTTTGATAATCATACTTTTCAAACTCATTTTCAATCACACATTCACATAATAAAATATTTTGCACGTAAATTCAAAATTTCTCCATACTTTTTAATCACATATTCTCCTAAAAATTACAATTCAAAACTCTCTCTCTCTCTCTCTGAAAAGAATGGTTTGTGAAGTAGGAGCTTAAAGTCATACTTTGTCATATAAACTGATGCTGCAGCATAACTTATGCTAAATAACATTACTCTTAAGATTTTATTTTTTATTTTTCATCTCAAAAAATATGATGTGCTTACTAAATGCATTTATAATGGAGAGATTGTACCATTAATTTTTTATTTATATTTTTTTTCCATACTTTATTTCAGAAGTTTAGAGAAAGCTGCAATCAAGAGTTTAATCCTCCTCCTTGAAAGAAAGAGCGTGACAGACGAGACTTTGTAAAAGTTTCAAGATGGGAAAGAAGGGCATGAAGACCATTCTCGACCATCAAAAGATGAGAGTTGTTTCCTAAATTCAAAGAGTGTATTTGAGTTCTCCTAATAGTTATAAAGTGTAGCGTGCCTGAATCAAAGGAAGTTATCCAAGTGCACATTCCAGTATGGTTACTTCGTTACGAATTTACTTTAGTAACTAACTCTATCTTCGACATTCATTCCTTGCAGTTAATGTACCGACTTCATGCACGACCAGCTTCCACAATGTGATGGGCGGTGATGATATCTACCTACACCTTGTATTGCATATCAAACATGATTTATTTTAATTGTTTATTAATGAGTACTGTTATTTGTATATCGTCGTGTATATAATGATGAAATGAAAGAGAGAGAAAGAGAAAAAAGAAAGAAAAAAAAAAAACTCAATTATTATTCTCTTCATCTCTCTTTAATATTATTTGTGCATCACTATTGAAGAGAGAGGAAGAGAATAATTATTTGTACAACATTGCTCTTTATTGAAAAAAATAATATTGAAGAGAGAGGAAGAGAATAATTATTTGTAGAATAATGCCCTGCGTACAAAAAAATGTTTCACAGCCCCTTACAAAGGGGCGGGCCGCACCTGTGTCTTGCCTGGCATAGGTCCTTGTACACCAAGCAAGATTCTTGTTTGTACAACATTGCTCTTTATTAGTGGAAGAATTAAGCTGTTTGTACCCTTTGATTTATACTTTGATTTACCTGACTCCACTTCCTCCCTCACATGGGATCGAGTCCCACATCCAATAAATGCGTGGGACCTGACCCCCATGTGAGGGAGGGGGTGGGATCGGGTAAATCAAAGTGTAAATCAAATGATATATGTAGCAAGGTCGTTAATGGAATGGGTGTTATAGGAAGCACAAATATCAATAAATGAATTGTTGTTCTGACTTTTAGTTTTCCCACGCAAATTCTTCACATGAAAGAAAGCACTTGTTTGGTTACCATGCTTTTCAAAATCTTTTTTCTATCTACTCATTTTCAACATATTCATAAAATAAAATATTTTGTATGTAAATTCAAAATTTTTCCTACTTTTTAACGATCGACTTTTTGGAAAATATGAGTCGAATCATAATAAAAATATTTATTCCCTTAAAAATCAATATTTTTTTTTGAAAAGCATTGTTGTCAAACATGGGCAAAATAATTAATTCCCCCGGCCCGGCCCCCGAGTAAAACTTTTCCTCACCAATATAATTAATTCCCCCCGATTTTTATGAAATCGCACCGCCAATTGAACATGGGTATACTGTGATAAATATACTATATTGCATCAATTATTTGAATACACCAGTCTTTGAGTTTCAATATGGATTTGTTAATGTTTGATGTAATGTAGTTTGAAATATATATTTTTTACAGAAGTATACATGGCTCCGTCAATTGGTTTTCTATGCATACTCTGACAAAATGTTATAGCTGTTGGTTAAAGAAGTGAAGTGCAGCAACTATTTCAATATGCTTTGTTTCAAACTATTTTTTTTTTCTTTTTTGACTGACTAATTTATTATTCTCTTTCAAATTTGTATGTTAGCTTGTTATACAGGAATTTGTTTTATAACAACAATCATTTTTGCACATAATCTCCAGTTTGTTTGCTAGGATAATGTGGCACATGTTATGCAAGTTTGCTGTGTAGGTTCTTGTTCTTTATTTCCGAATACTGTTATATTGATATTTTTCCGCAAAATTAGAGTTCAAATTTTCATCAACCCTGTTAATTATTTGGTCCAAAGTTGCTATTTCAGCTAGCAAGATGGCCAAAACTGCTATTGGCATTAGGAATTTTATGTGTCCTAGTTGATTCATGACAACTGATTAGCTCGAGAACAAAGATTTAATTTTAATATTCACAAAAGCACTTGACATTTTTTTCTCCAGGAAGAGATGGCCTGACACACAACCTGTTGGACAACATTCATGCTCACTGGAAGCAACGGAGGGTGTGCAGAATCAAATGCAAAGGAGTGTGTACAGTGGACATGGATAATGTCCGTCGACAATTGGAGGCCAGTAGTTTCAACTTTCTACTTATAGAAAAAGTTCAAAATTATTTTTCTCCAACATTCAAGTTTCCAATTCACCAATTTGCATTGCTTCTAGTAGTTCTTACTGACTACGTCCATAATATATGCAGAATTTAATAAACTGAATTGATATATCGGATAGGAAGTTACTGCTGTCATATAAAGAAAGCTCACTCACTTTTATATTGAACAGAAGGTATTTTCTTATTCCTCATTTTTAATACATCACTTCAATTATCTGACAAGGGATGGAAAATCCCCATTGGGATTCTGAGAATGGGGTTCGCCTTCATGACTTGGAGCCTCAGAAGTAGTAACAGAAGATCTGCAAAAGGGGAGTCTAAGCAAATTCTAGACAACACATTGAAACGAAATTTTCTAAAAAACATTGCTAAAACTTTAAAATGGATCGAATCAAAGAATAGGAAGTATTCTTCTCAAGTTATGAAAACATTGAAACGAAATTTTCTAAAAGACATTGCTAAAACTTTAAACTGGGTCGAATCACAGAATAGGAAGTATTCTTCTCAAGCTATGCCAAATAACTCACGGGTGTCTTATACTAGGTGATTCCAAATACTGTTGCCAGTGATATTTTCTCCACTGATTTGAAGCATGAAATAAGTTGGTGGCTACTAAACAATAGAATTTATCATGTCAAACTGATTTGTAAGCACATAATTCACAATAATTTTCTGATTCCCTTGGACATGTCAAATCTTGTGTACATCTAGCTTTACATCCCTCCCTATGTGGAGGGTGGGAGTGCATTGATGTAATTTCAAGATTCAAAAGTAATGGTGTAGATGATACCACGTGCTATAATGTAAAGAATGATGTAAAAAGTAATATACATGTAGCATGACCCAATGCAGAAACGAGGGAGAAACCTAACCGCAATATGCGAGCTTGGTATGCTGGTATTCCCCCGTCATTATGTGTTAAAGTAAAAGGTTTATGGTTCAGTTTTACCCAGAAGTCGTTGATAACCTATACATGTCTTTTGCAGCAAAAAATGGTGTCTATTGATTTGTGACCTTGTAAAAATTGTCAGAGAGCCGAGAGGCATTTGAAGCATGTGAGTTAGTGTGAATCAATTGTCAAGGATTGAATGGGAGTGACTACCGGAAAATAGGAGCCAAACTTAAGGTAGGGTAACTTGAATGACTAAGATATATATGTATGAACTTTTGATTTTTAGGAGAACAGGAAGATGGAAATTTTTTCGCAGTTACTTTTGGCAATCCTTAATGCTTGTTTGAGCCCCCATTTTATTGTAAGAATATATTTTGGAATAGTAGATTGATGAAAAATGTGGTTAAAAAATAAGGAAAAGTTTTGAATTTACGTTTAATATTATTTTATTGAAGAATGTGCGGTTGATTTGAAGAGAGAAAAATGTATTTTGCAAATAATGGGGATCAATCTTGCACCGTGTGTGTTGATTTCTTTGGAATATGAACACATACTTATATGGAGAGGACGAGATTGGAGGTCATCCTTACCAGAACCTGAAGATGGTCCAAAAGAAGTGCACGAAGTTAAATTTGATGTGGCCTTGGCACAACCAGCAGTATCAGCACTATCATCGAGTGTTCCAACCGTATCAATTGTTAATCCAAACTCAAATGATCTAAACACAAGTGTATCTCCTACATGGAGCAATGGGGAATCAAAGCAAAGCAGTGAATTGACTGAAGCTGGGGTTCAGATTCTTATCCCTACAGTCAATATGTCATTGGAAGCTTCTCAAGCAGTCTTGACGGTGCAGAGTATTAATGAGGGGACTGAAAGATTTCCTGTCCATGCAAGCTCCAGTGGTGATGATTCAGAACCATTCAGTGAAATAAGTGAAAGCAAAACAATATTGGATGGTTTAGTAGAGTCAAAAGGGAATCTGAGTGTAACGCCCCGAATTCCGTGAACCCGGATTGTCACGTCATATTCTTTTGTAACTGAATTAATTAAAAAGATTCGCGAAAAATAACTAAAATTTAAACATCACATTTATAACGGTAAAACTTCGTCGGCAACAAAACTCATTTGATTAACTTAAGAAATTTGATTAAACTTTAAATCTCGAGTTTTTGAAATAACTGA